TTCTGCTACATTGTTGAAAGTGTTTATCAGCTCTAGAAGTTTCCTGATAGAATTTTTAGGTAATTTTTACTGTTAAAATATGGTAATCTCTGAATAAAAATACTTTAAATTCTTCTTTTCCTATTTGTATCCCCTTGATATCCTTCAGTTATCGTATTGTTCTAGCTAGGACTTCAGGTATTGTCTTGAGTAGGTATGAAAAAAAAACACATCCTTTTCTTGTTGGTGATTTAGTGGAATTGATGTAAGTTTCTCTCTGTTTGAGCTGATGTTTGCTATGTGCTTACTGTAAATTCCCTTTATTATATTGAGATATGTGTCTTGCATCCCTAGACTCTATAGAACTTTTATTATAAAAGGACATTGGGTTTTTGTCAAAGGGGTTTTTCAAAACTAATGAAATGATAATGTGTCTTAGAGAATGGGAGAAAGTGATGGTACATAGATGGGTTACACAAAAGAAGGCAGAACTTCATCCATGAGAATATAGCGTGTACATATTTATCTGGGATTGTGCCCAGATATCTAAGCACCCCTGTTCCTGCTTGGTTCACCCTCAGCCTCTCAGCTGTCCAATGATGGTTGTTGTGAAGGAGGCTTGTTCACTCCTGAGTATCAGAGATCTCTACTTGTTATTGACAGACCTTCCCAAGACCTAACTGCGATGTCATTTATAATAAGGAAGAGGAACCGTGTATTCTTAACTCTACCATCATCTATCTCTATGCATTTTCAAATAAGTCTTTCTAGTAGAAAGGAAAATCCTGTCTTTTCTTGAGGCAACACATTAAGATTCTCCCCAAGGTAATCAGACCCACTCTAGTTTTTCCCCACATGGAGGCCTCAAAGATTTTTTTTAACATATCTGATAAAAATTACCACAAAAATATGAAATGTTTCTACCTGAAACTAAGAATGCCTGTATGGATGGTGTGGTATACCATCGCATGTGCCAAAATGGTCACACAAAACCTTGAGACAACGTTTTATTGCAAATAAGAAATACTAACAAATGTCTAAACTCACAGTAGACATTACAATTGTGATAATAAAATATAAATTTCAACACAAAATGAAACCCAACAAATTTTTCAGGTTTCCTCCCCTGATTGTTGAGTTTACCTCTGTTTTATTTTGAATTTTTATTTTCCTTTTATTAAATAATTTTCATAATGTCCATGAGTTACTTTGTAAGGATAAAGTCCTCTGATGCCAGTTTTATTACCATGGACAATACAGGAAAAACTTGAAGTAGTATTGTTTGGCTCCTGCTGTCCAGCACCAACAGTATGTCTAACAGAGTTATATTTTCTCATCCCCTGGGCTTTTCCCAGTTATTGCCTGTGAGGGTGTGATTGCCAAAAAAAAAAAAATTATCTTGATTCCTAAGTGACTTTTAAATATGAGGCTCCAAGGAGTCTTTTGTTTCTTGCCTCCGCTGTCTTCTATTATGGTTGGAATATATAAGATAATAGTTACAGTCTTTAGTGCTAAATGTATCCAGAAACTCAACTACCCTTAATTAATCAATTGCCCATCACAAAACCAGCAATTTATGCTGGGCATTACTGTGTTGTGGCTAACAAGGAAGCAAGAACACATCTGTGTTTTAAGTGACAAATGCTCTCTCATAGAGGAAAATCTGTGCCAGTGGCTCATTGTACTGCAGGACCATTTTAGGATGAGTTTAGCCCTGAGAAAACCTAGTGTTTACATCCCTGATGCGGTCTCACTGTTCAACCTGGGCCTTGGTGTTAGCACCTACAGATAAACTGTCAACCGATGTCAGGCAATGACCTCAAGCCGAAGGGTAAGGATGAACATGACTTTTACTCCACTTCTGTTTATGTGTACTACTGTATGTCTTGTATACACAGTTTCAGGAAAAGATGAGTGAGAAATATAGATATTTTCCCTTTAATAAAAGTTTTAGACTTAAACAATCAATTTTGAATACTTGCATTAGTATTTCATGGAACCAACCTAGAATCATATGTGAAATTTTTACTGGAAGGATAACCCTAGAAATTATTGCCATGCCTGATTTAGAAAGATGCAAACATTTCTCAAAGACATAGATCTATATTTTAAAAGATTTTAAAAATTAAACATACGCACACAAATAAAATGTTATTTTACTGAGGTTTTATTATTCATTCTTAGTCCCTGGAAAATAAGTACTCAAAATATCACTTAGATGAATATTATAGGTTTATTAAATTTTAAATATTTGTTCAAGTTTGAATTCAGGAAAAGCCATAAATATATGATTGAATCTTAAAGGTGGTCTCTAGGTCTAAGCAAAACTGAACAACAAAAGAGCGGGGTGGCCAGTTGAGACTGTGAAAAGAGGAAGATGTGTCCTGATGTTGGGACTTAATTCCCATCATTTAGGATGCAGTGACAAGAGGATAACCAGCTTGAGGTCAGCATGAGCTAGACAATGAATGGCTATAATATATAAATATTATATATTTATATATACGTATTATAAATATATAATATTGTTATATTGTATTAATATCAATACGATAATTAATTATTAATAATTGTATATTGGTTATAATATTATATATTATATATTATAATTATATTTAATATATATATCCCAGTCAGAGGTTCTCAGAGTGTGAGCTGCAGTCACCTTCCGATGACAATGGATTCACTAATTTGATGTAAGCTCTATCACATTTTATTTCCCATTTTGTTTCTTATATTTATTTTATTTGGCCGGAGACCCATCCAAATGGTGACGCTCAGTATACGTGGAGCCAGGAGTATCTGAATCCAGTGCTCACTCAGGCCAAAAAAAGGTAACTAGAAAGACATTGTGCAAAGGTCTACAAGTACTTGAATAAGGACTTTAAGTTAATGGGGGCTGGAGAGATGGCTCAGTGGTTAAGAGCACTAACTGCTCTTCCAGATGGACCCGGTTCAATTGCCAGCACCCACATGGCAGCTCACACGTGTCTGTAATTCCAGTTCCAGGGAATCTAGACACCTTCACACCAATGCAAACAAAATAAAGTTAAAAAAAATAAGTTAATAGATTCAGCAGTGCAGATAGATAGAGGAAATAACCTCCTACATTCTACAGCCTGCAATACATTTAGAGTCCATGAAAACTTTTATAAACTTTTAAAGGTTCCTAAGAGAAAGAAATGATTCTTGACATGATAGACATGCCACATATTACATACTTGGCTGAAATATTTTACTAGAGTCCATAAACATGCTAGTTACTATGATTCAGTTGAATATGTCACTATATTTTTAAAATAGCTCTCTGATGGAAATGTTTTAAAACAATAGTAAAAGAGCTTAATCTCAAAATACTTTATTTCTAATCATGTAAAAAATACTTTGAGCTCTAAAACATAATTTATATGTTAGAAAACATAATTTACAGAGAATTATTTGATTGGGGAAATTTTACCTTAGTCTAACTGATGGTTTAAAAAAAAGTCTCTAACTTCTGGTCCTAACGTTTCATGGAATGAAGCATTGCTCAAACATAAAGTAATCAAATTACTAAACAGTCTAAGGAATAAAACAGAAAAAAATTGCTATATTTGACATTTTTATCTCTCTCTGCCCTGATATTAAACATGAAATTAACAAATAATTGCATAAGTATGCATCTAGGTTTTGTTCATAACTCTTCTATTACATTAGTTATACAAATATTGCTTCTAACTGTGCCTTCCTTTATTTCTCAATTATTTTGTTCTAGACAAAAAATGTGACTCTTCCTTTGTTTGTATGACCAATACAAAATACTTAATTTGTAAAAATTAAGCATTCAGTCAAGTATGTTCCAATAAAGAGAGTACAGTAACTAAAACATACTATGACTCTGAAGACTGGCTTGCCACTGATCCAGGAAAAAGTGGGCACATACTTTGCCTACTGGTGTCTCAGATTTCACACTTTCAAGTGAATTTAGGGTCAATAAGATGTGTGTATAGGTTTCTTGTACTCTTTCTTTGTCTTTTTTTTCTGATTGTTTTCTTGTTTGTTTTGTTCTATTCTGTTTGTTTTTATTTTCTTATTGTATTATTATTATTTCTATTTACTATTATTATTAATTGTCTTAGTTGCTTGTATTCTAACAATAGAGACAGAAAGAACAGGTGTGGATTTAAGCATGTGAGAAACTTGGAATGATCTGGGAGGAGTTGAGGATGGGAAACTGTAATCAGAATATATTGTATAAAAAAAAAAACTATGTTCAGTTAAAAAAATAAACATTATGGCTCAGTGAGTTAAAGGTTCTTGTATCCAAGCCTGAAATGCTGAGTTTAATACTTGAGGCTCACATGGTAGAAGTAGATACTCAAGTACCACAAGTTGTCCTCTCACTTCAATGTACATACAGTATAGCATGTACATAATACATACATACATACATACATACATACATACATACATACACACACACAAATAAGTACATACACATATACGTTTTAAAAAAATAAATAGCCTGGAGATAATAGGCATCCATATTTTGTAGGTTATTGTAAGGTAATTCATATGTGGTACAGTTAAAATATTGCTTGATGTATATAAAAACATTTATATTTGTTTAATTGTTTATAACGAGTTAAGTCACAGAAAGATATGCAATGCACATTTTAAGTAAATAAGATTAGAAGCTAGATAGCAACAGTTTGAGAATTAACTGATGCAGAATGTAGCTCTGAAGAAATGGGGAAGAAAGGAGTGCAGTTTGTGGTGAGGTTATTTTGCAGCTTTGTTTTAATTTTCTCCCTAATATGTTTTATAAACTGCACTCACCTGCACACCTAACTAAAACCATGAATATATATGGACAAGCATGTATCTTGTCACTAAAATTCTTCACACTAATAAAAATAACACATAGACATTGAATGTATAGTTATGAAGATGCTCATCATTGATGATTTTTGACATTGAATTCGACAGGTCAAGTCTCCCTGACATTAACATTTAGGTTTGGAAAGTTCCTGAAGTTGATAATGAGAAACCACACATCAATTACAACATTCATCCTCCTGGGACTCACAGATGATCCTCAATTGCAGGTCTTGCTTTTATTTTTCTATTTGTCACCTACCTATTGAGTGTAACTGGTAACTTAGCCATCATTACCCTCACCACAGTGGATCCCAACCTTAAAACTCCCATGTATTTCTTCCTCCAAAATTTCTCTTTCCTAGAAATCTCATTTACAAGTGCCTGTGTCCCAAGATTCTTATACAGTATTTCAACAGGAGACAGAACAATTACATACAATGCATGTGCAACTCAAATATTTTTTACAGATCTCTTTGGGGTGGCTGAATTTTTTCTTCTGGCCATTATGTCCTATGATCGCTATGTGGCCATATGTAAACCTTTGCACTATATGACCATCATGAACAACAAGGTGTGTAGAACAATGATTATTTCTTGTTGGATAGCTGCGTTCATGATTATTCTACCACCACTTAGTTTAGGTTTGGGTCTGGAATTCTGTGATTCTAATATCATTGATCACTTTGGATGTGATGCAAATCCTATTCTGAAAATATCATGCTCAGACACATGGTTAATTGAGCAGATGGTAATAGTCTCCGCAGTATTGACCTTCATCATTACTCTTATATGTGTGGTCTTTTCCTACATATACATCATAAGGACAATTCTAAAATTCCCTTCTCTTCAGCAAAAGAGAAAAGCCTTTTCAACCTGTTCTTCACACATGATTGTGGTTTCCATCACCTATGGCAGCTGCATCTTTATCTACATCAAACCATCTGCAAAAGAAGAGGTAACCATTAACAAAGGTGTGTCGGTGCTTATTTCTTCCATATCACCCATGCTGAATCCTTTCATATATACTCTGAGGAACAAGCAAGTTAAACAAGCTTCTCATGACTTACTCAAGAAAATTGCATTTCTTTTAAAGAAGTGAAGTGTGCCCAAGTTGACAAATCAAGGTGTCCTCTCTTCTTGTTTTTCATTATAAATAACAAGCTTTGTACTTTCTTGGACAACAGGCAATTATGTTACCTCTTATGCTTTTTGTTGGTTGTGGTGCCTTTGTTGGTGGTGGTGGTGTAACTACCCACAGAAATCACGAAACTAATAAGGGACCAAGGGAGCCATCAGCTTTTAAGAAAAGACAGAGAGATACAACTCACAAGGTATGAAGGGAGAATTGGAGTTAACAAAACAATAAAGGTTAAGTGTTGTGGGAGATGGACCAAAAGACAGAAGTGGGATTTGAGAAGTCATAATTAATACTGAAAGTCTTCTGGAAAGAAAAAAATAGAAACTTTAGAAGCTTCTTAACATTATATGTATACATATATAAAAGGGCTTAAATAGAATCATTTAATGGGGCAACAATGCTCCTGCCACATATCACAGGTAAATAAATAAAAAGCCTAATGGAATACCTCTTTTGACCTTGTTGATTGGTGAGGTCACATCGACCACCCCACAAACATTACATACTACTGCCAACGGTTGCCCTCCAGAAGTAACACCCTGTTGCTGAACACACCAAATGCTTGAGTAACAAAACATAGAGAAATCAAACTGGTGCTCACCTGGAAGCTTCATGCTTTTGACTAGTTGTCATAGTTCCTAAAGGCATAGTGATGACATTTGGGGAGCAAAGTAATCATCAGTCATATCCAGCTGTGAGCCTTGAAAGCTATAACAGTTTGGAAAGTTATAATCACTACTCTACTGGTGGCATTAATGTTATGTGAGTAGCCAACCATTTTCTAGCTAGACTTAAGACACAAAATTAAATTCATTCCCAGTACTGTTAATGAGTCTAGGTAGGTAATAGGCCCTAAGAGAGAACCTGTTATTATTCTGCTAAATAGACCTAGTATTAAACCAACTACTAAAGAGAAAGTATTAAATTGATTCCTAAAGACCTATACCCATAGATAAGTTTATCTCTCAATCCTCATCTCAGAGTCGTCTTTTATGGTAGATGATGAATAACATGGAAAACCACAATTGGCCAACAGGCAAGAATTCACAGTGTTCAGTCCTTAATTAGACATCTAAACCATGCTTCCTTAACCCAAAGTTCAAAGATAGGATAATTATTGAAGAGTATATAGAAAGATTATGAGTTGATGTGAGATTCTCCTCTGTATGCTGTGAATATGTTTTAATACCATTGGTTAATAAAAAAAAGCTGTTATGGTCTATAACAGGACGGAATATAGCTAGGCAGGAAAATTAAACTGAATGCAGGGAGAAAGAAGACAAAGTCAGACAGATGCCATGTAGCTGTCCAAGAAAAAAGATGTGAGGCAAAAAACCATGAGCATTGTGGTAAAACATAAGATAATAGAAAGGATTAATTTAAGATGAAAGAGCTAACTAGGAATACATCTAACCTATTGGCCAAACAGTGTGGTAATTAAAATAGTTTTGTGTGATTATTTGGGTCTGGGTAGCTGGGAAATGAAAGCACAGTATTCATTTACATAATGGCAACACACATACACATACAGCCTAAGAAAGCATTTTTTAAAAAGGTGAGGAAGTTTCTAGACCCACAAAAACAGGACTCAATTGGAGCTTCTTAGTAGCTACATTTTTTCAGTTAGCCTCTGTTTGCTGGCTGTAAGCAGAGGCATAGCTTCTTTAAGAGACAGCTTCCTTGTTTGTGCTGGCAGCATGAATGGCTCTGGGTCTTTTGGGAAGTCCTGCTACAAAGTACTTAAGTGGGTTTTATGAGCAGAGTGCTATAGGTTGATGAATGGTGACATAGACCTGCTGTGTCTCTAGAGCTGGGGCAGTTAACATGGCTCACAGAGGCTGTAAACATACCTCTGCCATAGTGGACAGGGGAAAGCCAACAGGCAAAGCTGCAGCATTAGCTCTAGACACACCTTCTTAACAATTAAAAAAAATTCTCCAGGTCAGAAAAGATTACAGATACACAATAAGGCAGAATCAGACAAAAAAAAAAAACTTTGAATGGGTCACACTGTTGGATAAATGTACATGGGCTCAGAAGAGAGAGAATAAAGAACACAGGCAGTCATAGATAAAAGGAGGAAAAGTAAAATAAATATTAAAAAGTAGTAGAGTAAAAAATAGTCATGTAAAGATGGAATATACACAGAGAATGGATTATGTGTATCATTGTGTTTTCTTTGGATTTTTTGACTGTTAATAAGTTAACTGCTGGGGGAAAAATTGATTCTTGGACTGCTCAACTAAACCAACATATATATTTTAAAAGTATCTTGACTTCAAAATTTGAGTCTATGGATATGTTACTTTGGAAAAGAGGTTCTGCTTTTGTTTCCACAGAAGAAGAGAACGTGTGGATTCCTTCCAGGCTAATGTAGTCTGATGGAACAAGACCCACTGAAAGGTGTCCATGAACCCTAAAAGTGCTTCGCCCAAGAAACAGCATACAGGAGTTTGGAGAAAACAATGCCCAATCATTCTATAAATGATTGTTTATAAATGTTTGTTTTCATTGGGTTGGTTATAAGTAGCTAATGGTCACAATCAATCTCTTTCTAAAATAAAATAAAATAATGGGACTTTGATATAAACATTGGTATGGACTTTGGTTTATTGATTCAAATTTAAGGTCAGTTTTATTATATCTGTATTTCTACTCTTGCATGAGGTATTATGTTTATATAGCTCATTTTAAAATGTAATGTATAATTTAAAATTACAGATTAATAGACAGTCATTTATAATTGTCAAATATAGTTAGGCTAGTTGGGTCTTCTAGATAGAGATATATTTCAGTTAGATAATCTTCAACAATTTAAAGACACAGAATATGGCATTTAAAAGGTTTTAAGAACTTGGACTTTTATTAACAGTGAGACATGACTATTTCTAGCAGCACCAATTAATTCAGAGAGGTTGATGGGGATTGAAGAAACTTATTATGGAATTTGCCTTCAATGTGACAAGGCTAGCCATTTGAGGAAGAAATTGCTCTTGAGGGACTGCTTGATGGTATGCTATATAAACTAGGCATGCAGGCCCCACATAAAAATGACTACTGAACTTGCCAAAAGAAGGTGATATAGCCCCTCAAGGTTCCTCCTTCATGAAAAGTTTTCCAGACATTCTTCAGCACATACAAGAAAGTGAATGACAAACTGCCAATATAGACAAAACATTCTTTCAAATTTCCTGCTTCATGGGAGAGTCTACCATATAGTATGGGCCTGTAGGCTGCAGATGGATATCCCAATGATACAGAAGAACTTTGGGTGACTGTACAGGCAGCAAGATGTCTCTGTCAATTCTAGAGTTTTGGAAGTTGCTCACAATGCACTTCCTGTTTACTTAGGTAATATTATATCCTTCTGGGGTCTTCGATGGAATTGAAGACATATAGTTATAGTTACAATTTTCCTTAGTTATGATAAAAGACAAATTAGATATGAAACTTTATACTCACAAAGATAAAATAGATGATAGAATATTTTCCATATACAAATAGACTAAATATTGTAACTGTAATTCTTGTTGGATACCTGTTTTGTTATATGTAGAAGGTAAACCCTTTCTTTTTATTTTGACAGAAAAAGGGAGATGATATGGGATTCCCCTTTGTATGCTGTGAATGTTTTATTACTATTGATTAATAAATAAGCTGCTTTGACCTATGGCAGGGCAGAATATAACTACATGGGAAAACTAAACTGAATGCAGGGAGAAAGAAAGCAGAGTCAGGCAGATGCCATGTAGCTGCCCAAGAGGCAAGAGGTGAGGCAACAAACCATGAGCCTCATGGTAAAATATAAAATAATAGAAATGGATTCATTTAAGATGTAAGAACTAGCTAAGAACATGCCTGAGCCATTGGACAAACAGTGTTGTAATTAAAATCATTTTTGTGTGATTATTCAGGTCTGGGTAGCTAAAACCAAAAGTACAGTCTCCATTTACAATGAGTCAGTGGATGGTTATAAGAAAACAATGTTTCTTGACACATCAGGGCAGTCACACATATTAACTGACAATGGCTCTCACTGCATGCACAAGGCCCACACAAGATCAAGCCAGACATAAATCATAGCATGGAAGAGGGAGGGTGGTCAGGAGGTCTCAACCCTACTTGGGAAGCTATTGGCAACTGGTGGGTTCTAGGAAAGAGATAGGTTTTTTTCAAAGATGTGTCCTCTGAAAGGCTACTTGTGCTCCAATAGATAGCCCTATACCCATGCACATTCTGTTAGCAATAAGTCATATAAATGGATTCAAAGCCAGAAATCACATGATCATCTCAATATATGTATGAAGTGAGATTTCCCTCTGTAACATTGATAAATAAAGGAACTGTTTGGGGCCTATAGCAGAGTTATAGGGGAACAGAGCTAGGCAGAGAAAACTAAACAGAATGCTGGGAGAAAGAAGGCAGAGTCAGAGAGAAGCCATGGAGCCGCTGGAGACAGATACTGGGAACTTTACTGGGTAGGCCACAGCCATGTGGCGATACACAGATTAATAGAAATGGGTTAAATTAATATAATAGTTAGCCAATAAGAAGCTAAAATGAATGAACTAAGCAGTGATTTAATTAATACAGTTTCTGTGTGATTATTTTGGGGCTGAGCAGCTGGGAACGAAACAAGCGACCTCCTTACAACATATGCAGAAAAGGCTGCTGACAAAAAAAAAAAAAAGAAAGAAAAGGCTGCTGACAAAAATCAGCATAGCTTTCTGACAAAACCTTCAGGAGACTGAGGAGGAGGGGGGAGCACATCTAACATGATAAAGGGTACCTATGACAACCTTTTTACATGCTCAATGTAGAGAATCTCTAGACACAATCAAACCAGTAACAAGAAAACTGTTCATTCTCTCTATTCCTTTTCAACACTCGAAGTCTTAACTAGAGCAATATGCAGAGTTGTAGAGCACAGTCTCAAAGGATACATCTACAAATACTCCCAC